GGGAAAAAAGCAACTGAGGAATTATTAAAGAATTTAGAGAGTAATTGACAAAGTGAAAAAGAGAGTTTAAAGGAAAAGGAGGCTGAATTAACTACCCAATTAACTACTCTCCAATCTGAAAAAAATTTACTTATGAATGAAAAAGAGGAAATTATTAAGAAATTGCAGGAGAAAATTAAAGAGTTAACCACTAAACAGGAAGAGTTAATTAAAGATAATTGAAAGTTAAAAGAAGAAGTAAATAAGTCTAAATTGGAAAAAAAAGTAGTAGTAGAAACCGAGAAAAAGGAGGAAGCAGAATTAAAAATGGAACCTGAAACTATTAAGTTTTTGGATAAATATTGTCCGAAAGAGAAGAGGAAGAATATTGAGATTTTGAATATTAGCAAAAAAAACTTAAAAGGACATTTAGATTTAAGGGAGTTTGTTAGTTTGGGATGTTTAAATTGTTTTGGTAATCAATTAACTAGTTTAGATTTAAGTAAATGTGTTGATTTAGAAGAGTTATTTTGTCAGAATAATCAACTAACTAGTATAGATGTCAGCCATAATCCTAAACTAACTGATTTATATTTAGATAATGTTGAAATCATTGGATTAAAAAAAACTTCGATAATTCGATTTGGCTGTAGTGGTGATTTACTCCGAGCAAGTCGAAACCCCCAATTTATCTGAGAGGCTTTTATTAGAAAATATAACACAGCTTTCCCCGAAATGAAATTATTAGACATTAGTAATTTAAATAAGATAGCAGGGCAAGTAAATGAAGAAATAGCCAATAATGAAGAATTCTTAAAAAAGATTTGTCCTTTGGAAGCAGAGGAATTTATTGAAAGGTATAAAGGCAATTTTTACTGAATATTAGACCAAATAGCCAATACTATTCTAGCTCGTTGCTTAATTATCCAAAATCGTTTGTATGAGGGTAAAAATGAAGAATATGAAAAGCATTTAGAGGACTTAGCCCAACAGTGATTAAAATGTAATGCCATGAACCCCAAAAATCCCCAAGCCTCTTTATATGAAAACCGGGAAAAATTAGTCAATCAAGCCTTACAGGGAGACCTCCAACTTCTCCAAAAACTAACCGACCTCCCTTATCTCTCCCCCTGAGTAAAAGAACAATTAGCCAAGCAGAGAGAGAGAGAGAGAGAGAGAGCAAAAGTAGATGAAAATCGTTCTCCTCCTCCAATATTCAGCCGAAAAAGAAAGCAAAAAAAATATTAAAAATGGAGTTTCTTATCCTGGCTACTCCTTAAAGAAGTCAAGGAATAAAATTAAAGTATAGAAAGTGCAAAAAACCAAAAAGATAATTAACTATCCGGTTAACCGTTACTCTTGCAATTTAGTAATTAATGAAAGACTATTTACTGAATTAGTTATTAGCCAATATTACAAAACTAAACAAGGAAGATCAACCGTCAGTGATGAAATAATTCAGGAATTAGTTCAAAAATTACAACAAATAAGTAAGAAATTTCGAAAAAATAAAAATGACTATTACGATTATGAGCCTTTATACCTTGATTATCGTGCCTATAATTTAGTCTGAGATTATGATGATAAAGAAAAATTAATTAATAAACTCTTAATAATTGATTGTTATCGCGAAAAAAAATATGATCTTAAATAAAACTATGACAAAAAAGTTAACTACTTTTAAAAAAATTGGGACTGGTCAAATGCCAATTAATATAGCAACCTTAGAAAGAATGCGACAACCAGGTTATCGTTATATAAATAAAGGACTAAATTTAAATGCTACTCCCTTAGAAAAGAGTAAATATGACATCTGTCAAGATATTTTGTCCTACACCCAAGAAAACCATATTTCTGACCAAGATTTAAAGAAAAAGTTAGGAATTAAGCAAATTGAATTAGACTATCTTGTATACTGTCAGGTTGACAAGTTTACTTTGGATCAATTAGTTTCCTATGCTAGTAAATTATTCGCTCATTTTCGTTTAGGGATTATTCCAGAAAAAACTTTGCTTTTTTCCCAAAAGCCTTCTAATAATCGTTCTCGCAAACACCTTTAAATCTGCCTTTTTTTAGCCTTGTTATAAGAAATCTGAATAACAAAAATACTTACTTTTCCATAAAT